GGCTTCGGCACGAGAACTTCCTAGGGGGGTCACCCATCTTAGGACTGCTCTCGCCCAAACTCACTTAACTTCGGAGTTCCAATGGGATGTGAACATGCATAAAAATTGGGATTAAATGGCTTTTGTCACCCTTCAAGTGTCGGTCAGCACGTGAACATCTGATGTCCCAAGGACATTGGGATTGGGGCGTGTCACTCACGCTTGACATCATGCTTTTACTAAAATGCAAGGACTAAAAAGGTAATGGAATCCCTTGTTAAACAAATGTGTTCCGTTTATAATTTCAATCATGTATCATTACAAATAGAGACTTGCTTATTCCGTACCTGAACAATGTCACGTATATATCACTGTCATATCATTATCATATCCGCAAAGTAAGCAAGCATGCCCTAAATTACAACTACAACAAGAGTTTTCTATCAATCAAAATAGTCCAGTCCAAGTCCAACCATAACTCACAAGTAAAGAATCCATCATCCTTCACACTTTTTTTGTACTTGGCCATTTAAGATTTAACAACTTCCCCCACTTGCAACATTGCCTATTTGGAAAGACATCCCACCCCGGAGGGTTTAACGGACCTCCCCATCCACCCACCCACAAAAACCCAAAAACGATGACTTGGCTTCACACAATCCCTCCACTTGGCAGCCTCGAGACGTGTTGCCTGCTTTTACTCGCTTTGGAGTATTTCGAAACCAAAATGTGTAACTTTTTTCCGTTGTATTGTATAAATCTGTGGATTGAATGGCTATATTTCCCGGGAATGGTGTTTGTTTGCTGAATTGATGTGTTTGGTGCAGGAAATTATGCTCTTGTAATAACTTCGCGGACGGCAGTTGGGACTTATCTCGGCTTCCCTGTTTATCGAGTGACCTCGATGAGGTTTCTGTCCTGCAACGAGGGTATGAAGAATTCAACTGCTCAGGAGGTAAGGGTTTTGATTCTTTTGATTTGTTAGCGAATTTCAGTGTGACTTGGGATGTTTTGAATTTGTGAAGTGTTTCTGCAGAAAAAGGATGAGGCGTACTTCATGGCTCTGTTGAAAACAATCCAATCAACTCCGGGGCTGTACTTCTCGTACGAGACTGATATAACACTAAAGTAAATTCTTATGCCTATCACTCAGCCAAAGTTTAAATTTTTTGTATCTGTTAGGGTGCCGTTTAAGTACATTCCGCTGTTTTCATAGCTGTTGTGTGATTACTGTTCAAAATCTTATCATGTCTATTTATGTATCTACCCGGCGTCTAGGTACAATCTTATAGAGATGATTGACTCTTGTAATCACTTTTGTGTCTGTATCTGCATGTTTTGAAGGACTTAAACATGAAACACTGTAACATGGTCGCGTAGGGACAAGAATGTGGAGAAGAGGAGGCAACCTTGATGGAGACGTTGCTAATTTTATCGAAACTGAGCAGTTGGTGGAGAGTGAAGGTTTCCAGTCCTCATTATTGCAGATAATTCTCATATGAAGGTTCAGAAAACAAATGTGTGCTGAGGTATTATTGTATCGGAATATTTTTAGTTACTATTATGTTTCTTTGCCTAAATAGAACATTAGCTTATATCATGGTGTCATTGTACACGTGATCAACTAAGTTGGCCGAGGATTAAACATTTGAGAAAAGTATATTCTGTTCAGAATGAATCTCATATTGATGGGAGGAGAGACCTTGCATGAGCTTATAAGTAAATTGGGTTGATCCCCATATTGCCAATTGGTTTTATGGTGGAACCTCAACCTTATTCACATTCTGCGCTCCTTGTTGATGTGTGAAATATCATAATTGTAGAACTTTGTCATTCTTTTCTGAGGTTGATGGACTGCCCATCACATAGATGAAACTTTCGTACAGTTTAGCAAGGATAGATTGGCTTTGCCAACTTTTATACATTTAGAAAACTTATCCAATACCATACTATCTAAATATGCAGACACTGTTTCACTATTAACCCTTAAGACTGATAGTAGATTGCAAGTTTTGTCATAATTTAATACGAGAAGATTTATTTAGCTATTCCTTTTTTCTGAATAAAACCCTCCATAATATTTTTGATATGTTTTTCAGATTCGAGATTCAATTCGGCTTCTTTGGGAGCAAATTGTTGACTTGAGCTATAAACCACAACTTAAAATTATTACTCATGAGCAGACGGTAATTTGTTGCCAGAGATGCAAATCCATCCCTTTTTACTCTTTTCTTGGCTTCATGGTACAGTTCCCTTGTTTGAGTTGTGTTCTGAATTTTCCCATCCACTTACAGTCAAATGTTGTGGAGCGCCATTTTTTTGATCTTTCGCAAAGATATGGAGAGACAATGGCAGTAGACGTAACTGATAAAGAATGGGTTTCCTTTCTTTTACATTTTACTTTGAATTTAACAATCCTTGCACACTGGTTCACCTTTACGTTAAGCTGAAAAGTTTGCAATTTTTTTCCTTCAAATTGTGTTTGTACGACACGCTCACCTTTTTGTGGCTCTGGGATTTGCTAAATAAGCAATGATTTCTATAATTCTTCCCAGTTGACTGCTTGTGCTACACAAGTTTTACTGTTTTTTTAGTTGTATGCAAAGTATATGTTGTTTCATAAATTTCCGGTTGTTATAATTTTTCCATTTATTGTTATTTGTAGCATGGCGATGAAGGTCAACTAATCACGGCATTTTCTGCTGAAATGCAAAATCTACCAAACATGAGGAGACAATTTGCATATCTATGTTGGCTCCCAACTGAATCATTTTCCCACTTCAAGTAGATTCCTTTTTTGTTTTCAAGGTTGCTTATAATGAAGTCAGTTCTATGTGCTGGCATTGGGAACAATGTCAGAAATGAGATTTTGTTCTCAACTTACTAGTGTCTTTGTTGTAGATACGTTTCACTTGACTTTCATTATGTGTATGTGGTAACTCAAACTTTGAAAACCTAAAGGTTCTATACGAGCAGATCTCAGAGCAATTTGAAAAGCAAGGGTAATGAAAGCGTAGTATCTGATTGAATTAAATATGCCAAAATCCAGGTATGCTGGCTATATGTAATACTGTTTTTAATCAAAACTGTTCCAGCTGAGCAGATACTTCCTCGTAGATGCATAAGGCAATATGCTGGAGGAGCAGAAAGGGATTGTCAGATCAAACTGCATTGATTGCCTTGATAGAACAAATGTTACTCAGGTTTCTAAGAAAATTACCTAGTGTGATTGATCTTAATAATTTGTGCTAATATGATATACCATTTGCCATAGCATGAGTAAACTGAGATTTGACATTAAATTGTCTACTGCTTCTTTATTTGGTAGAGTTACTTGGCCCAGAAGTCTCTAGATGCACAGTTGCAGAGGACTGGAGTGCTGGATTCTTCTGAAAGCATTTCTGTGTTTGCTGAAGACTATTAAACATTTAGAGCGTGTATGGAATTCTTTGTGTCATGTATCTTATCTTTCATAAATGATCAAACGGTCTACAATAAATTGTTATACTTATTCTCAATTCTGTTGCTTTAGTGTGGGCGGAGCAAGGTGATGAGATAAGCCTGGAGTATGCAGGGACGTATGCCCTGAAGGGGGACCTGGTTAGGTAAATTCAACTGTATAGTATGACTTGAATCATGGACAATAAAATCTTGGTTCATCTTCTCAGAACCTCAATATTTTAGTTTATGATGGTTTGGGGAGTACCCTGATGGTTCAATTGCATCTCTTGAAAGTAAATTTAGTAAGAAATCATGCCTACTTTAGCAAATACGAGCGATATTTAATGGATAGCTTTTAGTAACGAAATGAGAAGTAAAATTCAATTCTAGCAAACTTGATGTTTGATTGGCCAGCTTGGCATGTAATCATCATTAGTTGGCCGCGAATGAAGGTAACTCGTGCCACTTTTAAAATTGCTTCACTGAATCTATAGTCAAGTTTTAAGTGTGAGAACAAACATTGCAGTGTCTACCCGTGGCATCAGCTTTGCTAATTGGAGGGTTGACATTGACATCCGTCACACTTCAACAAGGTATTACTATTTGGTTTTGCCTGAAATCTTAGCACATGGAACTTTGTTCTCAGGTGCGAGTTTTATTCAATGTTCACTAAGACCTGAGAAATTTTGAATCCAACTTGCAGCGGGTCGAAATGCCCAACAGTATATGTCTTCTGTTCTTTGTGCTGGAGTAGCGGCAGCGGTTAAAGCTAACGGAAGGCAATTCTGTTTGAGACCTCGTTTGTGCAGACTCTCTGAACTTGTTCATTCAAACCGTAGAGTTACTGTTGTTGCAAGCCTTGTCATTATTTAGCTAATATTTATAAACGATTTGTGGTTAAAATGGTAAACTTGTTTTACTGTTTCCAGTTGCTGCCGATAAGTTACTTGGACTATCCAAACAAATCGAAATTGCTCTGAATTTACTCCAAATCTAACATGATTTCAACCGGACGAAACACTTACAATGCCCTTTTGTATTTACCGATGCCAGTTAAACTCATCTATCTCGATCGTTGTTAACTTTGCAAACCCTGACTAGAAATAAATATATAAAAGCAGTACGAGAAAATCTATTGGCCATCCAATCTCAAGTGCTTTTTCTTACATGTGAGGATTTCTTCTCTTTTTTGCTTATTTAACTTTGGTTTTCTGGTTTTCTATTTGTTTTTGAACAATGATGGAGCATTCACGTACTATTCGTAATCTGGTTTTGCTGGAATGAGATTGATTACGAACATACAAAGACATCCCTTTGCACATACACTTTCATAGGTGTTCAAAAGTCTTTGCACATACACAGTTTCACAAAGACTAACACAAAATATAGGTGTTCAAAAGTCTTACCATAAAATATAAAACACAAAACATAGGTGTTCAAAAGTCTTTGCACAAAACATAGGTGATCAAAAGTCTCTGCACATCCGCACTTTCACACATATTTTTAGACTTTTTGTATACACACATAGCTTTCGGCCGTTACAGAAGGCTGTCACTCTCTGCTTTCGGCCAGTACGGACCTTGGAAAGTCTCAACCTGTCTTTCAATTCTTTCGGCGGGAAACTTCCGACTAATATGTCCCACTGTACACAACTCAGATTTTTGGATCTTTTTTCCAACAAGATTATTGGGTCAATTCCACGCCAACTCAGTTCATGGTTGAGTTTGACTGTTCTACAACTTGGAAAAAATAATCTCAGTGGAACCATCCCAGGTTGGATAGGAAATTTTTCTTCTTTGAGGAGTCTTAGACTTGCCGGCAACAATTTTCAAGGAAGCATACCTAATGAGCTCGGGCATGTAACAACCTTGGAATTATTCGTAGTTGGGGACAATAATTTGTCTGGTATGCTCCCTTCTTCAATTTATAATATTTCTTCCATATACATATTCAGTGTTTTTATGAACCAATTCCATGGAGAGCTACCACCAAATCTCGGCATCCTGCTTCCTAATCTCGAAAAATTTTACTGTGATGGCAACAATTTCACAGGAAATATTCCTGTATCATTGTCAAATGCTTCCAGACTTCATAAGATTGATTTTGCTCAAAATGACTTCACGGGGACAATCCCTGGAGAAAGTCTCGGAAGCTTGCGAAGCTTAATTTGGCTAAACCTTTTTAACAATCGACTGGGAAATGGAAAACTTGGTGATTTGAGTTTTCTCAATTTCTTTACTAATTGTACTAGTCTTCAATATCTGGCTCTTAGTCATAATCGTTTTGGGGGAGAAATCCCGAGATCCATAGCCAACCTTACGACCCAACTAAAAATTATTCATCTGGGGGGTAATTTGTTACATGGAAGCCTCCCAAACGGCATTGCAAATCTTATAAACCTCATCGGTCTAGATATGTCTCGTAACTATTTGGCGGGTGTTGTCCCTGAAGAAATTGGGAAGCTCGAGAAGATAGGGGTACTGTATTTGCATCATAACAAATTTTCCGGGCCAATTCCATCGTCCCTTGGTAATATGACTTCATGGATAGAGCTCTGCATGGAGAAAAACAATTTTCAGGGAAGTATACCTCCAAGTCTTGGAAATTGCCAGAACCTGTTACTACTTACACTTTATAATAACAATCTAACAGGCAGCATACCTCAAAAGCTTATGGAGCTTTCAACCCTTTCAATTTCTTTGGACCTGTCTGAAAATTATTTGACTGGTCCACTGCCAAGTAATGTGGGTGATCTGGTGCATCTCACACTGCTAAATGTATCAAACAACAAGTTATCAGGTGAAATCCCCAACACCATCAGCAGTTGTACTAGTTTGGGGGGCTTGTACTTGGACAACAACAAATTTGAAGGAAAAATTCCTCAGTCTCTTAAAGATTTAAAGGGCTTGGAAGAACTTGACATCTCAAGCAATAACTTATCCGGGCAGATTCCTGAATTCTTAGGCAAGCTTGGAGCACTTAAGTATCTCAATCTTTCTTATAATGATTTTGAAGGCGAGTTGCCTAAAGAAGGAATTTTTTCAAATGTCAGTGGTGCCTCAGTTCTTGGAAATCATAGGCTCTGTGGTGGCATCCCACAATTACATCTACCTGCATGCCACAAAAACAAACACCATTCATCTGGAGGACCATTTCCCCCAAAAGTAGTCATCCCTATATCTTGTGCACTTGCATTCATAATTGCTCTATCATGCTTCTTCAGTGCTCGTTCAATGCTGAAAAAGTCAAGAGATGGACTTGTAACTTCACGTTCTTATAAGGATTGGAAATTAGGTGTTTCCTACTCACAACTTGTTGAATCGACTAATGGTTTCTCAGTGGATAATTTGATTGGTTCGGGAAGTTTTGGTTCTGTTTATAAAGGGGTAATTCCTAGCGATGGAACGGTAGTTGCTGTTAAGGTATTAAACCTTCAACAACAAGGAGCGTCCAAGAGTTTCAATGATGAATGCAAAGCTTTAAGAAGTGTCAGGCACAGAAATCTTGTCAAGATCATAACTTCATGCTCGAGCATTGATAATCATGGTAGAGACTTCAAAAGTCTAGTCTTTGAGTTCATGCCAAATGGAAGTCTTGACTCGTGGTTGCATCCTAGAGATGAGGATCAATCTCCAAGTAAGAGATTGAATTTTATGCAAAGATTGAACATAGCCATTGATGTTGCTTCTGCGTTAGATTACCTCCACAACCATTGTGAAACGTCCATTGTTCATTGTGATCTAAAGCCGAGCAATGTACTTCTTGATGAAGACATGGTAGCCCATGTTGGGGACTTTGGTTTAGCAAGGTTCCTCTTGGAAGCATCAAATGATCCTTCCCTCAGTCAAACAATGTCATCTCAACTAAAAGGTTCTGTAGGTTACATTCCTCCAGGTATGAGTTTCCATCATTCTAATTTATATTTTCGGTTCTTAATTATTAACTTATTACTAAAAACCAATTAATTAAATTCTATTTATTAAAGATATACTATGGACTCTTTTTCCTGGAAACAAGTAACATTAATCTGAAATAAGATATCAATTTTAATAGTGTGACATCTTATTGTCTATATGTATGTCATGGCAGAGTACGGCATGGGAGGCCAAGTTTCCATCCAGGGAGATGTTTACAGCTACGGGATACTTTTGCTAGAAATGTTCACAGGAAAAACACCTACTGATGACATGTTCATCGAAGGTTTAAGCATTTACAAATTCGCAGCCATGGCTTTGCCCGACCATGTCATGGACGTTGTTGATCCTTCATTGCTTCTCGACCTCGAAGCTGATGGTAGTGTTAACGATGACAGATACGAAAGGACTGCACTGCCCAGACGTAACAATCGTGGAATGGTGAAAGCAAAAAAGGTAAAGGAATGCTTGTTTGCGGTGATGCAGATAGGACTTTCCTGCTGTGCAGTATCACCAAAGGAGCGGATGCTTCTGAATATGGTTGTTGGAAAAATGAGTGCAATTAAAGACTCGTACCTCAAAGTTCAAGAAGGCTAAAGAATGGCAAAGATATGCTGCTTGTGGTTTTTCTTTAATTGTTTTTCTCTACCTTTCCTGCCATCGCTTTGAACCTTGCCTCCTTTATGCTAGCGGTTGTTTTATAGGGACGAAGTTTTCATTTGTATGACTTGAAGCTTTCCAAATCTTATTTGTGTGGAGCTATTTGTAATTGTCTTGGTTATGTCTATCCTGTTTAGAATCTGATAAACTCAATGCTGAAGTAGTTTATAACATTTCAGTCTCATATTTCTTCCCAAATGGTTGCATGTGCTACACAAGTTTTGTTGGATTTTTTTTTTTTTTTTGGTAGCATGTGGATTATGGTTGTGACGAAGGATGAAAGATTGCTTTAAGGCACGTATAAATATGTTGCCATTCATAATCTATTTCGCATATGTAGAAAACTGCTGTTGTATTTTGATTATTTCCATCTAAAATTCAAATTTCTAGCCGAATGCGCATTTGATTACTTGTTTTAGGGTTCCTGTTCTGTTCAATTTATTAATCGTTTCATCTATTTACACAGTGTGTGTAATTCCCACAATTTGTTTTCTGAGATGGGAATTAGGCAAACATCGGAAGCACGCAGAAGTTGACAGAGTAAATAGAAATTAAAAAATTTGGATTTTTTGGGTTTTTTTGGTATTGGAGTTATGGGGCAATGAACTGCTTTGCATTGATGAATTGGTGTGACAAAAGTAAACCACTTTTATTATTTTTGTGCATAGTTGCAAAAACAGATCATGTTTCGCTTAGCTTCTGGAAATCATTTTGTTTTGTTCATCATCGAGACTTAGCCAATATTCTAATCAGGTATTTTTCTTAGGAAACTTGCTTGTTGCTGCTTGTATGTTTGACTGTTGTACTTTCTCGTTCGATACGTTTCCAACCTACTCTCTATGGCTAGTCTAGTTAAGGAATTAATGACTTCCATAATTCTCACTCGTAATCTTTGTATGTGGCATGCATCTATGGATGTTTGAACTCCTCGGTGTTCTTGGAGCTTTGTTAATCCAATTTCATATCTGATTTAAGATTCAGTAGATGAACTTGGCATTTCCTTTTTATCTTCTACCGAAGGGGACTCCATGCTAAAGATTGCTCAGTAAGTCGACGCTATACTCTTAAAAATCTTTCACAATCTCAATTGAGTACGCCCCGCTTAATGATTTTGGCTACCTAGTGTGTCCTACCCTTTGCTCCCGAGTCCAATCCCTTCCCCCGAGATTAGGGTAGTCAAAAGAAAGGACCCCATTACTATGCGATTCAAAGCTTATGGTCTACAAATGAACACCTTTGTTAGATGATCCAGCCATTCAGATTTCGATCAAGCTCTATGGAATGTGAAGAGTCATATAAGTGTGAATTTACAAAAATATTATTCACACCTCTTCTTAAGAACATAGATCATTTGCGTGAGCGAGATTATTGGAAAACATATATTTCAATATGTACGTATGTGTATAATACGGTTTTAGTACATTAGAGTTGTTAAATGTATATTTCAACGAATCATTCTGACGTGTACAACAAATAAAAGCACACAAATTTACGAACGAGGATAAATAATTAACAAATAGTTTTATTGTCGGTCGTCGCACAATTTCAAACCTCATTGGATTTCCCACTTCATGCATAAAAGAATTGAGACTTGTTGAGTTGTTGAGGTGATAAGAAGATACAAATTCGTTTTAATACAATTGAAAACGTTTTTAGAGAAAATGTTTGATTTTTAGTTAAAATGGTCTCTAAAATTGACATAACTACTCACTTTGGTCCCTATGATTTATAATCGATAGAAATGGTCCATAAAATTGCTCATCGTCAATCATTATGGTCATTTCGTGAAAAATCTTAGTTAAATTGCAAGTATTTTTGTCAAATCAACCCCTCCACTTGAACTGTTGGTTTCTTCAATTTCCCTAAGATTTTGCACAGAAAACCAAAATAATTGTCGGTTGAATATCACATGGATTACTTTTATTCATTTTAAATCTCAAATGACCATTTTGGTTAAAAAAAACCACAATGTTTTTGAGTTCTAAAAGTACATGAAGTACTTTTTTAGGGTTTACTTGTGTTTTTGCTAAAAACTGTTTTCAAAAATATTTTCACTTAAAATGCTTTCAGTTATTTGAAAATCACTTCTAAACGAGTTTTTTTTTTTTTTTTTTTTTTTTTTTATCATTGTGCCACATAGAAGCCACCACAACCATCATTGGCTGGTCAAAAATGCCAATTGGCAACAGCAGGATCTCCTAAAAGATGATCACTTGCAGCAATTGGTACACGTCATGAACCAATTTTCTCAATTCAAGCAGCGCAGCGGCTTGTTTGCTGAACATTTCTCATGGCAGCCAAATTCTCTCATCACTAAAAGTCAAGGCAATTTTGTCACCTACCCTTCAACTTTACTGCAATCAGCAATTGCTTGGAGCTGCACCCCACTTTATTATCTTCTCCCATCATCACACACGCTAGTGACTAGTTTAGTGACTAGGACTGGGAAACAAATTGAGATCAAGTTCGAGTCAGTCTAACAAGTGATACGATGAAGCAGTATTGATTTTCATTTGTAAGTTTGAGGTTCCGGATTTGATTCACATTAATAGCGAGAATATATTATTTTTTGTGTTGAGTTTAATATCTAGTAAGTGGTTAACCTATTGTGAGGCCTAAACCAACCACTTAAATGCAGAATAATGTTGTATCCAAAGAGTTCTTTTAGCGCCCGCCGCACCCCCCCCCTTTGGAATAGATTATCTCCTTTAGATGAGTCTTTCATGCAACAGAAATGCTACTTCAAGTAAATTGTATACTATTGTATGGACGAACAATACGGTTAACCTCTATCCAACTCAATAGTGGTCTGTTTACTTACCAAGAACGAGAATGCAAGTATGAGTATAATTCTCACTCATGACATCATGAGTTTACCAAAATGCAAGGAAAAAAAAGATAACATAATCCCTTGTTAACTCATCCGAAAAGTAAGTATGCATTCCTTAAAGTACAACTGAAAAATGAATTCCGTCTCATCGAAATAGTCCAGTTCACGCCGAACCAACAAGTGACAACCAAAGCATCCATCCTTCACACTTCTTTTGTACCTAGCCATTTAACAATTTCCCCCCGCTTGCACCAATGCAAACATTGCCTATTTAGAAAGACATCCCTCCCCCGAGGGTTTAACCTGCCCACCACCACCCCCAAAAACCCAAAATCAATGACTTGGCTTCACACAATCCGTCCACTTGGCAGCCTCAAGACGTGTTGCCCCGTCATCCGGGCAGCCACAAACCAAACCCCTCATCTTTTCTGCCCTTTGTTTGTCAAATCAAAACCAACACCGATTACCCACCCCCCCCTCTTCCCCTCTTTGACAAAAACACGTGCAAAAAACACTCAAAAGAATCACAAACCAAAACATATTTCCCTTTTCCTTCCTCGCCCACCACTTTGAACACCTTCACACTCCTCTGGCATCACTACGAGACAAAACCCACCGAGATCGTTACATACATCACCCCCCCTCTTTCTCTCTCTTTAATGGCGTCCAACTGCACACGCGTCTCCGTCTGAGCCTCACCTCCTCTGTTTTCCTCTCTCTCTCTCTCTCTGAAAAAAACAAAATGCATGAACCTTGCTCTCGAAGTATCCTCACTCATTAGCATTACTTGCCCACAAAGCAAATCAAAAACCAAAATCCCAAAAGAAATCCCCCACCTTTCGAATCCCACCTCCTATTTAATCCCACCCATCTCTCTGTTTTTTGTCGCCATTAAAACCCCAGAAAGCTTTGCTGTTTTTGTTTTGGTTATGACAAACGGTTCTCAAAGCGGCAATGCGTCAAACACATTCGAGGCATTCTACGAGGCTGGCTGGTCCGGCAAGAACACTTCCTCGATGAGCTCTTATCGGCCCAGCAGACGATCGACGAGGCCCGAGATGAAGACCTCTAAGATTTGGTGTCTCAGGTTCTCTCCATTACCAGCAGTATTACGACGAGAAATCGCGACTTGGACAGTGGGACGTTTTACTGGTTTTCTCACCGACGTGGTATACTTCCTACGAAAGGAGCCTGCTTTGGATCGCCGGGTACAAACCGGGTATCGTATTCCGGCTCGTGACCGAGTCGGTGCCAGATTTGAGCGACCAGCAGCGGGTCAGGATGGCCCGGCTGAGGGAGGCGGCCCGGGTCGAGGAGTGCGCGCTCAATGACAAGCTCGCCAAGATTCACGAGAGCGTGGCGGCGCCGCCGTTCATGGATGCGGTGAGGCGGTACGGGAGGGTCGGCCACGGGGAGATCGTGGAGGACGACGCGGTGATCAAGTCGCTTAAGTCGGCATTAGAGACCGTGGTGGAGAATGCCAACTTGCTGAGGACGACGATGGCGACGAAGCTGGTGGATTTGCTGAGCTCGGGGCAGGCAGTGAAATTTTTTACGGCGGTGATGCAGTTTCAGCTAAAGATTCGGAGTTTGGGGTTGGAGAGGGACGTCGAGAAGCAGCGGGAAATGAGCGGAGGCGGTGGTGGTTGGAGTCCAATTAGTAGTATGTGGTAGAATTTTGAGTTTTATACTTTGGAGGAAAATGTATGGTGGGTTTGGCTAATAATTTTGATTATGGATGGTAATGGTAAATTTAATATGATTGCATTTTGCAATGGAGCTTGGATGATGAAAATGGATTTTAATATAATTGATATAAAGGAAAGTTTTGAACTTGGGACACAATAAATTTACATTTGGAACACAGTGAATTGGAAATGATGATGTAATTTGTTTTAGTTACAGAGAAAAACGACACTTTACAAGTTTCGATTAGACGCCAAAAATATTAGTAAAAGGTATGATTTTTGGAATGTATGGTCAACAGAACGAGACTCGCCAGAACTAAGAAAGGTATGATGTTTAGAATGTATGGTCAACACAACGAGACTTGACCAGACTTCTACTTGTACTTTTCTCCTGCTTGGAGTCCAATTAGATCAAATTCCAATCGCTTCAAAAAAGATTACTGGATGATCAAGAGAACGAAACTTGATTAAACACTTCTAGTCAAACGTTTCTCCCACTTGGAGGCCAATTAGACTAAACTCCAAGCACTTAAGAGCAACTTTTTATCTCATGGATGACAGTTGTTGATTAAAAATGTCTTCGAAACTCATGGGTGCGTAACGGCTCCCTTGGCCTTGAGAGGGGAGAAGACCACATTTTAGAAGGTTACAGTCAAAAGATGTAACTGCTTATGACATTTAGCTACCCGTTCAAATCTTATCCTGCAAAACCCAACAGCTTTTGGTGGGAATTTTGCTTTTGCTTCTGTTGTGGTAGGATAATCTGGTCAATACAAACGCCCTTGGCAAGCTTTCCTTTGACCCAACCACCGAGTTCTAGCAATCTTTGGACATAAGGTTTCAAAAGGTTCATTTCCTTTGTCACTCATTTGGACGTAAACTTGTCCGCCCACGGTGTTATGCCGGGGGCGAACAAGCCCAGGTATGGCGCTTTTTTGGCGAATAATTTGGGGGTCTGCTAGAATCATTTATTTGTCTTTCAGAACTATATACCGATACAATGTCTAAAAACAACAATTTATATGGTGTCCTTATTTTTGGTTGTCAATGGATGAATTCACTTCATCCTTTTTGACATCAGACAACCTTGTTCTTAATGAAAGAAACTTGTGGAGGGAGTTGAGATTCAGAGAAGTTACACTACAGACAGCTTCGCTGGGTCAATGCAGCTGGCCTGAAGCTGGCAATGCCAGTGACTTCCCTACCGATGACCAAGGCGTTGATGTCATACGTGCCTTCGAATATGTAGATGGGTTCCAAATCACCGAAAGCTTGCAAGGTGACCACAAAATGAATGCATTCAAAAGGTGACAGAAATAACTAAAGTTGTGCACATATAACAAACACCCTTCGCAAAAGAAACAGCCTGTCAATGGCACGTTTAAGATCCAATGCAATCAAGTTCCTACACTAAAGGAGTCGATAGCAAACGTTACCTAACCCTTTACCGACAACAGTAAGACAGAGGAATAGGTATACAAGTCAATAAGACACAGCAAATTTAAAATCAATCCTATCATTGCCTTCAAGTCCTAGCTTGAAAATTCTAAATATGTTTTCCAATCCTTCCAAAGATTCTAAATATAAAATTTTAAATCCACAGATAAGATTCCATTGCCACCAAGTAATTCCCTCCCTAGAGCAACTATTTCCCTTGGCCTCAGAGTGATCCATGACTGAAAATTGCACCCATTTAGTATTTTGAATGTATAAGCAATAGGATAACTAAATGCATCAGGATGTCATTTTTTTCTACCTTCCCCATGCTAGCATGACCAGGAGTCATTTTACCCGCCTCATACAGCTTGCAGAGGCGCCAACCTATAAGAACCATAGCTTGAACATTACCAAGCATACGGACAAGTTTCCCTTGGTTGATCTGGAAAGCTGCAAAAGGGGCTCCAAATTGTTTCCTCTCCTTCAGATACCTTTCAAATCCTTATAATTTAGACTTAATACAGAGGAACTTGAATTATGGTAAATGGAAGATGAGAGAGAGAGAGAGAGAGAGAGAGAGAGAGAGCGCTCCTTAGGCATGTTTTTATACCTGTGACACATATCATAGACCCCCATACATAAACCAATAGGTTGCCAGGCGACCATGACACGCGAAACAGCAAGAACCTGTATTCAGTAGTTTAAAGCAACATCAAATCAATAAATACTCATGAAGACAGCATTATACGTGTCACTCTCACATGTTTGAGAAATGAGAGACCATAGCACATCTGTTTTATATTAGGGCAACATAATGAAAAACTTTGTTCCATGCTCCGTAGAAAGAAGATTCAGAGTTATAACTTAGGGATAATGTCGTTATAACTTTGGGATAACGTCATCACAGTATCAAGCCTTATCTCTCAAAAGGGGAATAAAGAACTATTACAAAGACCAATATGAATCTCTATTCAAGCTTAAACATGTCTTGTTTATTAAACATAAGCTCGAATAAGAAGTAGAATTTATGCCTAAATTACTCTAAAGGGAGAAGATTAAACAAATTGCAATAACGCAGCTTTGCAGCTTACCTTGTTAGTATCCTGAAAAGAATTAACACCAGGTAGCCTTTCCTCATCTGGAACAAATACTTTATTTAAGAGAATATCTCCATTTTGAACAATGCGTAAACCAAATTTATTTTCTATTTTTGTAGCTGTCAGTCCAGGGGCATTCTTCTTTACTATAAATCTGAAATAGAAGAAGAAAAAAAGCATTCAACATACTAAATTTTGGAGATTTAGTATGTTGAAGCTTAACAAATTTTGGATGCATCTAGGCATCTAAACACCAAAGCAATTTGGAGTCAAGGACAAGCCTAATCAGAAAGAAATAATCATAAATTCTGCATAACTTTGAAGCTTAACAAACAAGTTCCGAACACATATTGAGAGGTTGTTCGCATGTTTATGTTTTTACATACCCATTAATCTGATTTGTTGTTGTATTCCTAGCAAAAATAATCAAGACATCGGCAAATGTATTGTTTCCTATCCATTGCTTTTGGCCTTCAAGTACCCAACCTCCTTCCACCTGACGATCCCAACAACACAAGAATACATGATATAGCATGATCGGAGCCATGACACCCAAAAACCAAAAGAGCATGATAATACCATTTAACAGAAATAAAGAAGCAAATGAGAAGGTTGAAATCCTTGACCTTTGTTGCTGTCGCTCTCAAGGCACTCGCATCACTTCCATAGTGATGCGAGATTTATGCGCACACAAATTAAACCCTCTTTTTGTCAATTGTAGTGAAGTGTATAAGTAGGGATCGTTCTGGACCGGGGATTAGGAGGGATTGTTAATCACTTGGATTTGACTTAAAAACGTAAAAACACAATATAAAACACTATTTAATGCTCGAAGAAAGCAAAACTAAAAATAAGAAAGATTAAGACTAAGACTTCAACGAAATAGGGGGGAATTGGATTTGGACGAATTTAAACTAAAATGGATAATTGGAAACAAAACAAATTGTAATTATGGATTTGACGGAAATGAATGGATGGGAAGCTAGCTAAGGGGTTCATCTCTATATATGTTATACTTGCATACGAAACGATTTCTAATTGCTTTTCAATAAACCATGAATTCTCAACACCCCGGGTTAATTAGGTCCGCTTAAATTAATCGTCAAGTTTTCCTTAAGTTAATGAATTGGATGATTGCATACGACAACCCAAAGCATTCCTCACAAGTTCCCTACATGAATTGCATAATAGAGATACAAGCAAGAATCATTAAGCAACATGAAAACTATAAGTGTTGACGAGGCATTCGTTACTATGATTGCATGAAACTTATGCCAAGAATTTGTTTAACGCGATTGTTTATAAGCAACCTCCACTACTTGTGAATATAAGTTCATAACTATTACGTGAAACTCACTTATATTCTAGCGTCATATTCATGGATGAAAATTAAGCGTTCATTCTTAATAAACATACATAAATAGGATATCAATCAAATAGTTAAACAAATTGAATTCACAACTTATGAAACGTAATTAGAAGTAATCAAATCATATTGCAAGCATAAACATATATTTCGAATCACCCCCTAGCTAAGGGGGGTTTAGTTCCTCATACTTACAAAACAAAGAGAATTGAAATTAAACATTGAAATCAAAGAAACACCTAAACATTCCAACAACTCAAACTTGAATTGTATGAACGTTTAGGCACTCTTCTCTTCCTCGTTGTTGTAGCACAAGGTCTAAGGATAGGTTGTGTGATGGTGTGAAGTGTTTTGGAGGGATGGGAAGTGGTTGGATAGTGGCTGCAATGGAGGAGAAAAACTGCACAGAAATGGAAGGATATGCACGGCAAGGGATGTGTGTTTGTGTTGTGTGTTGTGTTGTGAATGGAATGATGAATGAATGAATGAATGCAAGGGTATTTATAGGAGTAATGGAGGGAACATGACAGCTAGGAGGTGGGTGGAAATGTGGCTGCATGTTTGGTGAATGATTATGAATGAATGCATGTGACTTGGCTAGGTTGGAAAGCTGGAAATCTGAAAATGCAAATGGGAATGCTGAAATGCAAAGGTGGCCACGGTTTTGAGTGTGTTTTGTGTTGGAAATGCATGTGAATGCATGTGAATGTTGTTTGTGTGAAGTGTGTGTGGGTTAAAGAGTGAATGGTGGCTGAAATAATGATGGAAAACAGCTAGGAGAAGTATGGAATGCATGTGAAATGTAAAGGGAAAAGAATTTCAGGATGCATGTGTGTTGGTGAATGGTGTCCTTTAATTATGGACGGTTTAGGGCTGTTAAGGGGAGAGAAATGGGAGTGAATGTGGCTTAATGATGAAGGGGGAAAGCTTGGAAAGCATGTGGCAAGGTTGGTTGCATGATGATGATGCAAGTGATGATTTAAAGAATAGGTATGCATGTGAATTAGGTTGGAAAGAGGTGGGTGTGCATGTGAGTTGAAATGCATATGTTTAAATGGTTGAAATGTGTAGATAATTATGAGTATGATAAGTGATAAGTGTATGGTTATGATAAGTGATAAGTGAAGGATATGTTAAGTGATAAATGAATGATATGTGGTGATAAATGAATGATATGTGGTGAGTGATAAGTGAATGGAAGTGATAAGTGATTGGAAGTGATAAGTGATAAGTGTATGATATGATAAGTGAATGCTTTAAGTGTTTAAAATAGGGAACAAAGCCCTTCCTTGCATGGCAAGGAAGGGAGACACAAGGAAACACACGACAATGTCCTAAGGTTGCAAGGAATGTTGTTTTTGTGTTCTAAAATGCGTAGGAGTCTTCAATGATGCTTAAACATGAGGTCTTTTAGGATTTAACTTTCCTACTTCAAGTCTTTAATTTCGTCCATCCTCTAGGCTCCAAGCATATGATATCCAATCCATGCACAAAAATGCTCCAAATAGCCTCAAAATGCACTTTCTTGCTCCCTAAGCCCTTAGAACCTGAAAACACACAAAAGAAGCATAAAGGACTAAAATAACTATGAATTACCAACATAGATGCACGAAAACAAGCTAAGTAAGTCGCCTAAATATGCTCCTATCACATAGTCAGGCTCAGTCAAACCCTTTAACATGCAGATGAACAGATTTGAGTATCTTGACATTAGCATAAAAAGATATTAGATACGAATATCATAAAAGAGCATCTTACCCAGCAGGCGACAATCTTAAATTCTGCCAAAAAAGGTAGATATTTCTGCTTTTGAGCCTCCGACCCACATAATGCTATTCTTCACAGTCCATAAATGTTACACTAGTTATAAGCCTTGACTTGTCAACAACATCATTTTTCAGTGAAGGTTTGGTTATTTATAAAACAAAAGGTCAAAAATAAAATTATCCAAATTCTAACCAATAGTAAGCATTGCGGCTGAGGAATGAACCAAGAAGAAAGTAGAACAGCTTGCATCAACTCTAGCAATTTCAGCTGTAGCAAAAGCATTTGCCGTAATAGAAAGACCAGGACACCCATAACCCTGATAGAAAGAAGGCCACAAGCGAAATTACCAACCCATCCAACAAATTATCGAACCCAAGATTTAAAAATAACTTATTAAGTTATGTATTAAGCGAAATTACCACAATTACATCCACCTGCATGCCCTGAAAATAAACACCATTCATCTCATGGACTACTTTCCCCAAAAGTAGTCATGGCACTTGCATTCATAATTGCTCTATCATGCTTCTTTGGTGCTTGTTCAATGTTGAAAAAGTCAAGAAATGGACTTATAGCTTCACGTTCTTCTAAGGATTGGAAATTAGGTATTTCCTACACATAACTTGTTGAATCGACTGGCAGTTTCTCTGTGGATAATCTGATTGGTTCGGGAAGTTTGGTTCTGTTTATAAAGGGGTAATTCCTAGAGATGGAACGGTAGTTGCTGTTAAGGTTTTAAATCTTCAACAAGAAGGAGCGTCCAAGAGTTTCAATGATGAATGCAAAACTTTAATAAAGTGTTAGGCACCGTAATCTTCTCAAGATCATAACTGCATGCTCGAGCATTGATAATCATGGTAGAGACTTCAAAAGTCTAGTCTTCGAGTTCATGCCAAATGGAAGTCTTAACTCGTGGTTGCATCCTAGAGATGAGGAGCAATCTCCAAGTAAGAGATTGAATTTTATGCAGAGATTGAACATAGCCATTGATGTTGCTTCTGCTTTAGATTATCTCCACCACCATTGTGAAACGTCCATTGTTCATTGTGATCTAAAGTCGAGCAATATACTTCTTGATGAAGACATGGTAGCCCATGTTGGTGACTTTGGTTTAGCAAGGTTCCTCTTGGAAGCATAAAATGATCCCTTCCTCAGTCAAACAATGTCATCGCAGCTAAAGGGTTATGTAGGTTACATTCCTCCAGGTATGAGTTTCCATCATTCTACTTTCTTTTTTCTGTTTTATTAACTTTTTACTAAAAATCAACTCATTAAATTTCTGCATATGGAAAGATACTATTGCTTTTTTTCTTGGAAACAAATAACATTAATCTGAAATAAGATATCAATTTTAATAGTCAATTGAATGTGACATCTTATTGTTTGTATGTATGTCACGGCAGAGTACGGCATGGGAGGGCAAGTTTCCATACTGGGAGATGTATACAGCTACGAGGTACTCTTGCTAGAAATGTTCACAGGAAAAACACCTACTGATGACATCTTCATCGAAGGTTTAAGCATTTACAAATTTGTAGCCATGGCTTTGCTCGACCATGTCATGGACGTTGTTGACCTTTCATTGCTCCTCCACCTTGAAGCTGATGGTAATGTTAACGATGACAGATACGAAAGGACCGCGCTGCCCAGACGTAACAATCATGGAGTGGTGAAAGCAATAAAGTTAGAGGAATGCTTGTTTGCTGTGATGCAAATAGGACTCTCCTGCTGTGCCATCGCTTTGAACCTTGCCTCTTTTATATTAGCGGTTGTTTTAAACAGACAAAGTTTGTGTATCACTTGAAGCTTTCAAATTCTTATTTGTGTGGAGCTATTTGTAATTGTCTTGGTTATGTCAATCCTGTTTAGAATCTGATAAACTCAATGCTTAAGCAGTTTAGAACATTTCAGTCTCATATTTCTTCCCAGATGGTTGCATGTGTTACACAAGTTTTGTTGGATTTTTTTATTTTTTTTGTAGCATGTGGGTTAGGGTTGTGACAGGATGAAAGATTGCTTCAAGGCACGCCCCCGATACAATGTGCACAAAGGATATGCGAATAAGCCTTGTGGATACATTTAAGCCCGATGTTACGCCTATTGTTTGTCAAAGTTTTGCACACTTCTAAATAGGGATGTCAACGGTTTTGTTTGGGGACGGAAATGATATATTCATCCCTATAATCACGAAAATTAACCATATTCATAATCGCAAATTAACCATCGGGTATTATCCATAACCATACTCACCGAATAACGGATTTCCCATCGGTTAACAGTTGTATCCATCTTTGTCAATATAAAAAATATATTCATTCAATTGACGCATGATAATTTAGTAAATATTAATTTCATCATTAAATATTTGATGTATAAAATGATTTAATGAATGGATCTTGTGGAGCATAAAAATTAAAGTTAAACATCGATAATGTTGGTTGATCTTTTATATCTCCCATAAGTACCATTGAATTCTCATAGATTTTGATTCATATCAAAACTTATGAACTTTCCCACAAAATTCAACTCACATAATGCAATTTTTGTATTTACACTCGAAGTAAGGGATTTGGCGAATAATGAATATACATATGTGTGTGTGTGTGTGTGTGTGTATTTTAATACTTTAATATTATGAATAATTATATTATATATTTTTCGGTTTGAATTCGGGGACGGATACGGATTGGTGACCCTTATAACCATATCCAAAACCATAACCGAATAATATTCACGGTTTTTCACCATACCCAAAAGATACCCGAATTTTTATACTCAAATCCAATCCATTTGGGCAGTTATCTACTGTTATCTGGTTTAACGGTTAGAATTGTCATCCCTACTTCTAAAACAAAGCCCAAACACCCAAAGAGATAGACAAGAATGGTCAAGATTTAACTAGAAACTAATACTGCAAATTTAGTTTTTAGGTTTTCATTATTTCAAATAAGAGGAATATAAAGATAATTCTCACTTTTTTTTTTCTTCTCTTTAGCCTTGATATCGCTTACATGAATTTCTATATTGTGTCGTGGTCTCTCTAAAACATTTGCTTGAGTTGATTTTATAAGCAAATGAATAAGTTAGTATGACTCAAAAACCCATTATTCCATTTTTTTATGTTTTCCGTGAATAAATTTAATATTATTTATATCAGGTCATTTCGCTTTACAATATAAAATTGATAAATAAGAAAAACAAATTTTGTTGTATGAATTTTTTTTAAACAAACGATATTATCGATGTAGAAGTGGATTAAGTCTTATATTGAACTAACAATAATGTAGTTTAAATTCGTTTTTTACCAGAGTTAAACTTAAGACATGTCCACTTATAGCTGATGATGAATACTATTAAACCATAATCCTAAGCAACCATTTTTAATTAAAACTTAAAAAGTACAAAAAAAAAAAATCAAATAAAAACATTACCCCTGTCCGATTCTCTCTCAGTCAGCCGAGCCCAACTCCCCCAATGGCGCCAATCCCCTCTTATAGTTGCATCCCTTCATCCGAGTCCTTTCCAGCTATCTTCGGTAAGCTTTGCTCTTTTCGCTTCTCGTTCTTCCTCTCTAGTTTTCGCATATGTAGAAAACTGCTGCTGTATTTTGATTATTTCCATCTAAAATTCAAATTTCTAGCCGAATGCGCATTCGATTACCTGTTTTAGGGTTCCTGTTGTGTTCAATTTATTAATCGTTTCATCTATTTACACAGCATGTTTAATTCCCGCAAGTTGAAAGAGTAATTAGAAATTAAAAAATTAGATTTTTTGGGTTTTTTTGGTATTGGAGTTATGGAGCAATGAACTGCTTTGCATTGATGTAAAAGAGTTTGCAAATATTCGTAGCTGATCGATAAGTTGCATGATTTGTGAATATAAACACCATGCAATTTGGCATGAAATTGTTAAAAAGTATGCAGATTTGCAAATTGGGTTAGTCTCGAAACTTTTGAATGTGCATTAGCATTATCAGTTGATGCAGGAGCATCTGAGGGGCACTCGAAAGCTAAGTTCGCTGGCAGCCAGCTAGGCTAGGGTTCTAGTTAATTTGAGGATTCGAGTTTTTATCATTTGGATTCTGTTTCTACTGTGATTTTGCCCTATTTGATCCGCTGGACAGAAGCTTATTTTACCCTGTTGTTGCAGGAACATGGCGAAGCATCATCCTGACCTGATTATGTGCCGGAAGCAACCTGGAATAGCTATTGGAATGTTGTGTGAAAAGTGTGACGGTAAGTGTGTAATTTGTGACTCTTATGTGCGTCCTTGCACCCTTGTTCGGGTTTGGCGATGAGTGCAACTATGGATCTTTTTAGGGAAGGTGTGTTATTTGTGGAGGGGATGGAACTTCTGGTGCTTATTACTGCAAAGAGTATACTCAGGAGGAGAAAGATAGAGACGGGTTCCCGAAAATTGTGAATCTGGAAAGTGCCAAAACAGATCTGTTCTATGAACGGAAAAAGTATGGTTTCAAGAAAAGATGATCATTAGCCGGTCATGTTTCGCTTAGCTTCGGGAAATCATTTTATTTTGTTCATCATTGAGGCTTTGCCAATATTACAATCAGGTATTTTTCTTAGGAAACTTGCTTGTTACTGCTTATATGTTTGACTGTTGTACTTTCTCGTTCGATATGTTTCCAACCTACTCTTATTCTGTGGCTAGTCAAGGAATTAATGACTTCCATAATTCTCACTCGTAATCTTTGTATGTGGCATGCATGCATCTATGGATGTTTGAACTCCTCGGTGTGCTTGCAGCTTTGTTAATCCAATTTCATATGTGATTTAAGATTCAGTAGATGAACTTGGCATTTCCTTTTTATCTTCTACTGAAATTGTGAAATGGATGTATGAATTGGGGACTCCATGCTAAAGATTGCTCAGTAAGTCGACGCATACTCTTTAAAATCTTTCAAAATCTCAATTGAATATTCCCGGGGTATTGATTTTGGCCAGGGTAGTGTGTCTTACCCTTTGCTCCCGAGTCCGATCCCTTCCCCCTAGATTAGGGTGGTCAAAAGAACCACTACCATGCGATTCAAGACTTATACTCTACAAATGAACGCCTTTGTCAGATGTTCCAGCCATTCAGATTTCGATCAAGCTCTATGGAATGTGAAGTGTCATATTAGTGTGAATTTACAATAATATTATTCACATCGCTCCTTAAGAACACAAATCATTTGTGTGAACGAGATTATTGAAAAACATATATTTCAATATGTACGTATGTGTATACATTTATAGTACCTTGGAGTCGTACAAGCAAAGATACCTGCGCTTTGCTGCATGTTTGGAAACCGTACCCACAATTTAAAACACCCATCTCCAAATAATTTAGAAACCGATCAAAGCAGTTCAATCCAAATGGTAGAAATAAGTCTTCACTTTGCATGTATGTTCTATTGAAATCCTATTTAGAGAATGTGGATGATTGTTGGTCTAATCATTAATAACAA